TATTAAAAGAATTTATTAAAGGCTAAACAGGGCTATAACACAGTTTTCCTTAAATGATTATGCTGGGGGGTTGTGTACCAATTGCTTCTCTTTACCTTGTGTTTATGCCTTACAGAAGGTCATCACAATTGGACTTGTTGTCTATCATATTCATTAATTAAAGGAGATATAGGCAGGGTCGTTGGACCCTTACCTGAGTATCCAGCCTCTTCACAGCCAACTGTATGTAATTTGGCCCTAATCACATATGGTCTTCTGGGTTTGGAAAGGACTAAAGTATATTATCTTGGAAAGGCTAGGAAAGGCTTTCCAACATAAATACTCTCAGGTCACCCATACACCTCAGGAACTCCTCAGTCATCTCTGTGAGTAAGCTCAGTAAATTCATTTGTTCCCCAGGAAAGCCTTAGTCAAACACTGGGTTGACACTGGAAACTTAGAAAGGAATAGACATTGCTTGAAGTTGGAGGGGAATTCTCACAACAGATGGAATATTTATTTGTTGATATTATGTCTCATGGTTTTTAAAAAAGAAAATACAAAGTTAAAAGATAGTAGAAGGATATGGGAATGGAGATATTTTACTAAGAAGAATTTATGAATGCAGATTATGATGGCTGGATATTTCCAGAATTAACAAAAGGAAAAAAAATGAGAAAGCCTAAGCAAGTAATAAAGGTCTGTGTAGATTTAAAGATGTTATTAAGGAGGATTTATGTATAGGATGAATAAAAAAGCCTAAGCAAATGATAAAGGTCTGTATATGTTTGTTATGATTTATCAACGATGGAACAGGGATAACATACAGACAATCATGAGGTCATAACTCAGTCAACTAGTTTAAGGCTGTCTAGTAAAGATTTATTGAAGAATATTGCCCAAGCTTTATCTGCATAACAATGACTACTGAAAGATGTCTTTTATGTTTCTTTGTATTATGCAACTGTTACTTTTGCTTTTGTTACTTTCTTTACCCATAACAAGAATGATTTGACTCAAGAAAACTAGGTCTACCTCCTTGAACCAGATGTATGCAATCTAGAAGAAAACAGTGTCTGTGAAGCTTGGTCTGAATTCTGTTTATTTCCTGTCGATAGGTATGTGATATAATGCCTCCCTTCCTTCCAAAAACTGTAAATCAGGATATAGAAAACTAAAAGGGGACTGCTTCTGTTTGTAATAGAACAGGCTTCATTTGAGACAGACTTAAGAAATTCTTGTTTTAAGGTCCCTTTCCTGGGCTGTGCCTAGTTAACCTGTGATGGTAAATCTCTTCCAGTCAATGTTTATTGAGAATGTTTGGGTTTTGTTCAAACTTTACCTATATATTACACAGTAATTAAAGGTACCATGCTGGTACAACTGACCTTCTTGATGGTTAATAACCATACTTAGAGGCCCATACTAATCTGGACAGTTTTGTTCCTTGCCCTGGAAGGTCAACAGTGTCCTAGAGGACTATGAGAATCTCTTAATATGTCCTGTAACTGTGATGAGTCACCTGTCCTCTTGTTCAGGTAGGTCATGGAGACCCCACCAGAGGGACTCAAACCAGCATCCAGTCTGCAAAGAGGAGGGTCAGCACAGAGGAAACATTTCCTCCATGCTTCCAAGTGAAGCCCAGGTCAAGCAGGACCTCTTGATTTATCTTCACGTAGATGGAACTGGTAAAAGAAAAGCCTGAGGAGCCAGGGGCTCCCGACCCCTGAGGACCAGATCCTCAAATGACTTTAATGTAAAAATAAATTGATTTATTTGGGACAACTGCATGGTTTTAAACACCCAAACGGAAAGTATAACTGAAAATTAAAGTGATTAGTATATTTCTTTAAGAGCCCAAAGATTGCAATTTCCAGACATTAGACTTAAGTCCAGGTAAAATGTTATTTAGAAAATGATGACTAAGTTTATTTTACTTCCTATCTACTGATTCTAGCCACTCCAACAGCTATCAAGAGTACCTGAAAACAAATCCTAAGTTCATCGCTTTCGAGTCCAGTCTTGGTGGCCCAAAGAAAAATGAAAAAGAACCCAATAGATGAATGCTTTTGAAAGCCCTCATCAAAAAATTCCAATGGATTTTAAGTGTTTAAACTTTGCCTTGTTCTGATTTTTTTCTGGTTCCCTGTCTAGAACTTGTAATGGTAACTATTCTTGCCTTTACTTCTCCTTCATGTCTCAATTTGAGTCTTTTAAATAGGCCCACTGAAGGGGTACCCCAATTGCCACCCTCTATGTCCCTGTTCAGCATGGAAGAAGCCAGAGTGGTCTGAGTCCCAAGTCCCCATGGGCAAATTGGGTTACTTCTTCAAAAATAATAAAATAAGGAAAAAAAAATCCTTGCTCTCCTAGAAGCTACTAAATGAGATTGTGCCTTGATTTGGCATCCCTATTGGTCTGGGGTCTAACAATGGCCCAGCTTTCATATCCTGTGTATCTAAAACCTTAGCTTCTGTCCTCCAGATTGGAAATTACATTGTACATTGTGTACCCAGAGTTCAGAACAGGTGAAAAGGATGACTAGAACTATTAAGGAAACTTTGACTAAGTTAATAACAGAGTCTGATAGTAACTGGTAAGTAAGAAAGAGTATAAGTCCTCTTCCTTTTGCCCTTTATGGGGCTTATACTGAGTTCAGTATTGTATAACTGTATTATTTCAACAGCGAACCTAAAAATGTTATAGCCACTTTTGAAAGAGATGTATCTTTGCTTTGGAAACTGTTATTATGTTAAAGCTATAATGAAATGATTTTTCTTAAAAAAAAAAAGCCAGATGTACTCCTTCTATTAAAGAAATTATTCCCTTTGAGATCTTGTTTGGGGGACCTCCATCCCTTACTTTCAGCTTAGGGGAGGAAAACCTGGCAGAAATATCTAATTACAGCCTTTTGCAATCATTGCAGGCTCTGCAAAATGCTTGGAGCCAGGTACATGGACTAGTGCAGGAGGCTCATGAGCCCAGTCATCCCTCACTGACCACTGAACAGACAGATATGGAACCTGGTGATTGGATTTGAGTCCACAGACATCAAGCACCTAACCTCGAACCCAAGTGGGCTGGTCCATACCCAATCATCTTGCTGACTCCAACTGCTGTTAAAGTTGCTGGACATGCCCACTGGATTCACCATTCTCAAGTTAAGAGAGCTCATCCAGACCACATTCCTCAAACATGGACGGTAAAAAGGACAATCCTCTCAAAGTAAAACTGGTAAAAGAATCTTAATTATGTTCTCCTTCTGGATAATAAAAACTGTAACTGGGTACAGTGACTGAAATCCCCATGAGCCATCCCCTGATAATTGGGTATTAAAAAGAACTTCAGATGGTAAGATATTAGCCACTAACACTATCACTAACCACTCCCCCGGCTTTCTGTTTGGCCTTTTTGATCACTTTTCTTTACAAGTAAGAGTAACTATTCCTGTCCCATCTCCTCAACCCTGGGGATATGGAACTCCTAGTCATGAAACAAATTGCAAAGCTTACAGGTTTATGGATGCCCATCAGATGGGAGTCCAGACTGTAACCATGAAAATGAATGGCATTATGGAACTTGGGGTTATGAGACATTTGCTTCCTGGATCAGATCAAAGGATAAATGGATTTCCTTTCAGCATGGCACTCATGGTATAACTATGGAAAAACTTAACTTACTCCCTTGATTCTTTAGCTGAGGTAATGTTACAAAACTGCCGAGGGCTAGATCTTGTTTTTATGCAACAAGGAGGATTATGCATGGCACTGAGTGAAAAATGTTGCTGCTATGCTAACCATACTGGAGTGATTAGAGATAGTATTAGGTTAGTCCAGCAATGAATTAGTGCTCGAGAAAGGGATCTCAGTAATCACCAAAACTGGTATGAGTCCTTATTTTCCTGGTCACCCTGGCTGACCACCTTGTTAAGTGCTGTTCCTGGGCCTATGATTCTTATTCTTTTAATTTTTACCCTTGGGCCTTGTATCTTAAATGACCTTGTAAAATTTATTTATCAGAGACTCCAGGCAGTAAAGCTCATGATATTAAGAACCCAATATGAACAATTAATACCAGTGCATGAAGAAAGCTGTACCTAATAGGTCAAAGAATTAACCTTACTCACAACAGGAGTGGGGAAGGAACTGGCTCAGCAAACTTACCTAAATTACTCCCTTTTGTTCAGAGCCATTTTAGCAGCAACTTTGCTCCACACCAAAAGGAAAAGGGGGGCAACCTTGGGTCTTGGGAAATTGTCCTAGCCATGAATCATGGAATGTGCTAATTCCAGACATTATACATCTGGCTAACCAGCTTGTTTTCACTTCTGTAATCCGCTTGCTATCTTGGGTCACCTTGACACAGGGCATAAGACCAACCTTGTTATCCTGTTACTGTACGACCACCTGGTAACTGCTGAGTTCAGCTTTCTTACTATAATTGTTATGGCTAGGGAGTTGACTAATTTTAAAGTTACAAAGTTGATTGCCAAGTTATATGACTGTATCACTTGTCTGTATAATGACTGGTTGTTGATGAATAGAGTCAAAGTTCTGCTATGTTGTACAAACCTGATTGGTTCACAAATGTCCTGTTTGAATAATATTTCTGTAATCCTATAAAAACTCTGACCTGACAATCATCAGAATCCTATAAAAACTCTTACCCGACAATCATCAGGGCTGCTTCTACTCCCGAGATAGACAGCCCGGCCAGTTGAAAAATAAAATTTACCCTGCTACTTTTCTTAAAGTGGTGTTGGTGATTTTTTGTGAACTCCATCCTATAACAATATGTGGCAGGTCATTTTTTTGGAGAACAAAGGTTGACTTCATACAGGACCGATACCTATAAAATCTACCTAGAAAAACTGGCTTTGAGTCCCAGGCTCTAAGATGATAACAAAAGTCAAACCAGGAGAGCGCCAATTGTTAGGATCTGAAAAAGAAGAAAATCACCAAATTTTATAGTTATGACAGAAGAAATCTGGTGTAGAAGTTTTTTTTTTTTTTTTTTTTTTTGAGACAGGGTCTCAATATGTAACCCTGGATGGTCTGGAACTTGCTGTGTGGTCCAGACTGGCCCCAAACTCACAGAGATTTGGCTGACTCTGCCTTTGCAGTGCTGGGATTAAAGATGTGCACCAATACATCCAGCATCATGTAGAGTTTTTAGGTTTAATTTCTTAGCCTCAACACTGCAAATAAGGAAGCTTTTAAGATTCCAGTCCAAGATTCCTTATGACTCTTCCCAATCAGACATTCATTTTGTGGCCTTAGCATTTAGTACTTAAATTTGAATAGCAAATCTGAGAAACACTGTGTGGCTCATTAGCATTCTTACTTAATAGATTTTCTGTAAAAGATCAATATTTTAAGATGGTCAGTATTTTAAGACTTACAACAGGCTTAGCAGTTCTATGGCAAGCTTTGTGCTATACAGGAGGGAACACAGCTTTCCTTTATCTAATAACAAAGGGAAGATTAATGAGAAAAAGTTGAAATTAATTCAAATTTTATTTAATGAGAGGCTTCATAAGGAACTAAACATCCCTCCCTAAAACAGAACAAAGCTAACTAACCTTTTAAGTATGAATTCATCCTCACCATTGGTCTGATAAGGAGTGGACAGTTATGGAGAAATATGACAGAGCAAAGACAGGTTATTACCTAATGGTAACAAATCAGGAAACTTAGCAAGGCTTTATAAGCATCAGTCTCATTCTGACTCTTGGCATTTCTCTCTTTGGAGATAAGACTACTCTTTCCCTGCAGTTAGGGAGCACTTGTATCCTAGGGCCTTGTGATTTGCTTTAGGAGAGAAGGGCCTGAGGAGGATGGAATGACCTTCTGGCTTTTATATTTTCCTCAAATTCCTTCAGTTGAAAATATTCAGTGTCCTAAAGTATCATATTCTAGGGTGGCATGCTCTAAACCTCATCAAGAAATGAAGACATAAATATCACTAAGATTGTACCTATCTTTGTTTGACGGTTGTTCATATTTTTCTTTCCTTTTGATCTTAAAGTATATAGAAGGCACCCAACATATAATTGTCCCACTTATGATTTTTCCACTTTACAATAGGGTAAATTTTATGTGCATTTATTAAAAACAGAATTTTGACATTTTTTTGTGAGAGGGAGGGTGTTTGTGTAGTGTATGTACACATGCCTGTGCATGTGTGGGACTAAGGTCCAGAGGAGGGCATCTGGTGTCATTCTCTCACTTTCTGCCCTATTGCTCTGAGGAAAGGTCTCTCCCTGAACTTGGAGTTCTCATATTTTTGGCTAGACTAGCAGCCAGAGGTTGCAGTAATCTTCCATTCCTGCAGCACTGGGGTTGTAGGTATGTCTAAGGCCATATCTGACTTGTTCTGTTGGTGTTGGGATCTGAGCTCAGGCCCTCATAGCTGTGCAGCAAGCACTGAATTTGATTTATAAACTAACACAAGTCATTCAACATTTCATTGTCAAACAAGCCTGTGTAAATAATTAGGAAAAAATTTAATAAAGCTAGCTTTCTTTGTGTGATCAAGAATAGTTTGACTTTTGTTTTTTGTTTTTCTAAAACAAGGTCTCATGTAGTTCAGACTGATCTCGAACTTTTAAAAATGTGCACCACTACACCCAGCATTGTGTAGAGTTTTCAGGTTTAATACTAAATTAAAAAAAATATTTTTATTTTATGTGTATGCACGTATTGCCTGCATGTGGGTAAGTGCACCTGTGTCATGCATCACCCGCAGAGAACAGAAGAGACTGTCGGATCCCCTGGAACTGGAGTTAAGTTATGGACAGTTGTTAGCTGCCATGTGGGTGCTGGGATTCGAACCTGGGTCTTCTGCAAGAACAGTGTTCTTAATTGCTGAGCCATCTCTCCTTCCCCAAGTTTAACAATAAACTTTAAAAAATTATTCTTTTTGTGTGTATTGTTTACTTTTCTGTTACTGTGGTAAAATACCATGAAGAGTTTATTTGGCTTACAGTTCTAGAGGGTAAGAGTCCATTATGGTGGGTAGGAATGGCTGCAGAGGTTGCTGGAACAGAAAGCTTTGTGCTCACAACTCCAAGCACAGGCAGGAAGCAAAGGATGACAGGAAGTGGGCCTTGGGCTCTCAAAGCCTGTCCCCAGTGATGTGCCTTCTCTGGCAAGATTACACCTCCTAAAGGTTTCATGACCTTTCCCAAACAGTACCATCAACTGACCAAAGTATTCAAATACTTGAGCCTATCAGGGACATTTCTTGTTCAAATCACCATGGTATGTGTGTGTGCAGGTGCACTCAGGCCATGGTATGAGTGTGGAGGTCAGAGGCCAACTTTTGGCAGTCAGTTCTATCCTTCCACTTTGGGTTTGAGGAATTGGCTTGTGTGACAAGTACTTTTATCCAATGAACCCCACCCTCAAATTTGCTATGTAACCAAGGATCAGCTTGAAATTATGATTCTCCCAAGTGCTGGTATTATAAGTACAAACCATTACACTTAGTTTTATGCCATGTAGGGGATCAAGTCCAGGGCCTCACACATGTTGGACAAGCACTATACCAACTGAGCTCATTTCCACTCCAAGTTTGAGATTTTTATTCTAAGGAGCAGATATTGCAGGAACATTGTGAAGTATTTGCAATGACAAAAAAGAATAAATGATTGCCTTGTGTCTTCTGAATGCTAGGTGCTATTCAGTCTACTTGTCCTCATTAACAATGCCTTTCATTGTTTTGGAGCTATTTTACCATGATTAGTCGTAGTAAGTTGCGAGCACTGTGAACTGTTTTTGCTGGTGAAGATGAAATTGAATATTTCCCTTTGGAGTTTGGCTAATTTTGCATGATAAATTCATTTCAGCACTCCTGATTGCCTCTATTTTTGTCTTGTCCTTCAGTCTCCTTGAATTGGCCTTCTATCCCTTTAGTTCCCTCAATAGCTAAAACATCATCTTTATACATCTTTATTTTTGTACCAGATTCATGATTTCATCTTTTTAAAAGGCTATGCTTTGCTAGGGGGTTAAGATACACACACATACTACAGATGATTTATTATAAAAGTCCACGTTCATTACCAGGAAAGCGAGGCTAGCTCTCAGATAATTTACTCCACATTTACTGAGCATCTACTATTTTCAAGGTGATGGGAATACAGCCATGAATAAAACTATTTTTTGAAAAACAATCCAGTCAACCTCCTGCTCCTCTGTACTGAGTTACCACTGACTGACTCACTCTCACTACAAATATTTATATTTTACAGGCCCTGTTAGTATATGACACTTTAGTTACACTTGGGCTGAATATATTTTTGCCAGACTCGTCTTTTAGCTTACAGACATGTCTAACAATGCTGCTGTGGGAAAATTTCATGCATTGTGAGAAACTTTTACTGATTAAACAGAGTCATACTCTCATAATGTTTAGTCACTACAAGATTAGTACCAACCTGCAATGAATTTTTAATGACTGTTATTGTATTGGGAGCTGCCTACATTATCAATGGAATGTACATAGTTTTCCAGTAATGCCATTACTACTGAAAATGTTTCTTAAAATTATTCCTTGAGATTGCCTTCAAATGTGAGAATACATTATTATGAATACTGAATATAGACTTCTATTCATTTAAGGAGGATTTAATTCTAGAATTTGTCTTATTGTATGGATATAAGATTAAGGGTTAAAATAAGGTAAGCTTTAGGTGCCTCTTTTCCCCACTTGTTAAATCTTTTACCAAAGAAAAGTGAAGTTTTCCAAAAGCCTTTATCATTGTAATGTTTAAAGTATTGAGCACAGAGAGCCCTGTGAATTTCCCACCTGAGTCCTGATTCCTGCTCCTCTGCCTCACTGACCAGAGGGTACTGCTATTAGTGATATGAAGTATATAGCATCATAAATGTACCAACACATGTAAGTATGCATCTGCCTTTATCTACATATATGTGATTAACACATAGATTTTAAATACCTAAAATCATGTAATACATATTTACCTAAATTTTCATTTTATTTGTCATTATTTAGTACAGACATCTTTTTAGTCAGAATGAGATTTGCTCCAACAATTTTAAAGGTTATTCAATCATTTTTGTGATGATACATCCTAATGAACACTGATCTTGAAAACTGAGTTAGCTCTCATCAGAGAAGGCTCTTGTTATAAAGCGTGGCCACCCCACACACCTGAACTCTCCATATGGCCATTTACATTTGCAATTCCCTCCAGCCCGGGCTGTCTCCAGAAGCCAAACTGAGTAATTTTTGACTTTTAGTCTCCTAAACACTAAGTTAAACCACTTTTCTTTATGTATTACTTGGCCTCATTTTATTAGTTACAACAGAAAACAGACTCATATACTGATCAATAGTGAATATGAACATTTTCATGTATTTATGCTATATGTAATGTTTTTCTATTAGATTATGTATTTCTCTTGTTAGTTTCTAGAGGTCTTCTAAAAAAATAAATATTAACTTAAATATTTTTTACCATTTTGAGAATTTCACGATACTGTAATTACATCATTTCTACCCATCTCCACCCCTCCAACTCCTCCTGTTTCCCCCCTTTCAAATTTATGGCTTCTGTAATTATTATTGTTACACACACAACAAACAAACAAACAAACAAACACCCCCAAATAGAAAGCAAACCCTACTGAGTCCATTCAGTATTGCTCGTATGTACATGTATAGGGCTGACCACTTGGGATTGGATAATCTATCAGGGGGCTCTCCCTGGAGAAAGCTGTTTCTCTCACTTAGCACCCATTGATTGCCTATAGTTCTTCATCTAGGGTTGGGGCTTTGTGAAATCCCCCCATCCATGCTTCCATGTCCACTCATGTGTTATTATGCAGGTCTTAAGGCAATAATATTGTTGAGATTTCATAGGTGTTTCTTCCCTGTCACATGTAGAAGGCACTACCTCACAGCACACATCCTGGTCCTCTGGCTTTTGCAATCTTTCTACCCCTTTCCTCAATGTTCCCAGTGTCTTAGGTGCAGGGGTTGCTTTGTAAATTACAAAATGGGGTTGGGCACTCTATGGTCAGCAATTCTCTGCATCTGACCAGTTGTGAATCTCTGTAATGGTCTCTAGTTGCTCTATGAGGGTTGAGAGCCACACTTAGCAGGCTGGGCTGCTATGAAAGCATGAGGCCCCAACTAGACTTTCTGGGAGTGTGAACACATTAAAAAAAAAATTTTTTTTTTTGAGACAGGATCTCCCTGTAGCCCCAGCTGGCCTGGAATTCATTATGTAGACCAGACTGGCCTCTATCTCAGAGATTTGCCTGCTTCTACCTTCTGAGTGCTGGGACTAAAGGCATGTGCCACCACACCCATTTTAACTTTTTATCCTAGGTAGGTATTTCATCTATTTTCTCTAAGTCTTTTAAATTTGTTCATATGTTATCAACTATACCAAAATTAATGTTTATATGTGATTAAAATTTTGACTGAATGCAAGGAAATTTATGCCTTCCTTGTAATACTCAGGAAGGCTGTATAGTTTTGGCTTTTCATGAAAAACAATAAAATACTTCTTGTAAAGGCTAAAAGCTTCTCCAGCCTCTAAAGAAAAATGAGCAATCTTAATTTTAAATAAAAATCCATTTAAAAACTAAATGCCAATTCAACAAACATAGATTGAAAATTTTAAATTATATATAGTAATAGTATATTAAAATAATGTAATAGAATTATTGAATGTTTATTCCAGTAATATAAGCATGACCTCATATTTAGAAATCTGTTTATGTAATTTATCATATAAATAGGTCAACGATGAAAAAAAATGCATTACATTTCTACATACTAAGAATTACAAACTTTGTAGTACCACAAACTATAAATTAACTAGTAATAAGGAATTAAAATGTCTTGGAAAATGCAGTGTTTGCTAAGGGACATAAAAACTTGTCTAACTGTAAAAACACATCATGCTCCTTAAAAGCATCTATCAAAATGTTTATTTTCCACAAATAAGGTTGTAATTTTTACTTAGTACCAGTCCAAGTCCAAATGAGACACTGGAGATAAAAGAAAAAAGGAATTGTAGTCAACTACCATTGCTGGTTTTAATAACAGTCCATATTCATATATCCAATACACATTCAAGTGTTTATACATGTACGAATATACAATGACCAGATGTGCTTATCACCTCAAACCACAATACACTCTAGATTCATATATTTCACCTATATTTTACTCCTGGTGTTTCCTTAGATCTAGTTCAGACACTTCACTTTCTTCACTGTGACACTGAAATTCTGAAGGGTCTGTTAGGTAGTCTTCTATATTCTTGTCTTACATTCCTTTAGTCAGGTTGAGTATAGTTTAATATAAAAACCTGTGTTTTTAGTGTATGTCTGAGCTTCTACAAATGCATCTAGTGATGTAATCACCATCACAATCAAGATCCTCCCATTGTCACTCTCTCCTTCCCTCCATTTTGCAGGGTGAGTGGTGGATCTTAGGGCTTCACACATGCTAGGCAAATACTCTACCACTGAGCTACCTTAAGATGAAAAATATTCCTTATTTTCCCAAAATTGTATTATTGTATAATATCTTCCTTCCTTCCCTCTACCCACCAGATTCCAGCAACTTCTGCTGCACTTTTCATCCGTACCATTTTATTTATTTATTTATTTATTTATTTATTTATTTATTTATTTATTGACCCTTTCACTTGATGAGGGCAGTTGTGCAGAATTCATGGCTTGATAGTGCTCTGTTCAAATGGTATTTTTTGAGGGATTGTGTTTATTTTTTTGGTCTGTACAACTTTAACTTTGTAGAAAAAGAATATAAGGGGAAGGAGAGATGGCTCAGGGGTTAAGAGCACTGACTGCTCTTGCAGAAGACCCGGGTTCAAATCCCAACACCCACATGGCAGGTAATAACTGACTGAAACTCTGGTTCCAAGGGATCTGATACCCTCTTCTAACCTCCATGGGCATTGTACCACACAGGTGCACTTACACACACACAGGCAATACAACACTCATACACATAAAATAAAAATAAAATTTTTAAAAAAGAATATAAATCAAATCATGTTATAAGCTGGAAAACATAAATGGAATCATATAGTAAACTGTAATCTGACTTCCTTTAGCATTTTGTTTTTGTGATATATCCATTATGTGAATGTATCAGTGTTTTTTCTCTTTGAGTGGTATGCAGGTTTTGACAATTATGAATAAAGCCATCATAAATACTTTAATACAGGCTTTTGTGGGGGGATATTTTTCATTTCTTTTGCATAAGCAGGACTGAGATTGCAAGTTCAAATAGCAACTATTCATTTCATTAAAGTGTTTAGCCAGGTGTGGTGGCCCACACCTTTAATCCCAGCTCTTGGGAGGCAGAGGCAGGCAGATCTCTGAGTTTGAGGCCAGCCTGGTTTACATAGCGAGTTCTAGGCCAACTGGGGTTACAGGGAGACCCTGTCTCAAAAAGCCGCCCCCCCAAAAAATGAAAGTTTTTGGCTTTTTGAGAAAGGATTTTACTCTGTAGCCCAGACTAGTCTTGAACTCATGTTGATCGTCCTGCCTCTGCCTCATTAGTGTTGGGATTACAAGAGTATGTTACCTTTTGTTGTGACAAAACATCATGACCAAAGGCAACTCATGGAAGAATTTATTTCTGCTTAAGTTTCCAGAGTCCATAATGGTGGGGAGGGCATGAGAGCAGGAGGCTGGAGGATGAAGTTGGGAGATCACACCTTCATTTGTAATCATGAAGCAGAGAGAGAACAGAAGTGGGACAAAGTTATAACTCTCAAAGCTCACCACTAGTGATGGACTCCCTACAGGAAGGCTCTGGCCTAGTTTCCATAACCTCCCCAACAGTGCCACCAATCAGGAACCAAGTGTTCAGTATGTGAGCGTATGGGGGACACTTCTCATTTAAACCTCCAAAAGGCCTACCACAAGGGTTGAGACACCATGCGAGGCACACTTAGTAAGAGGTTAGTCATTTATTTTCCAAGGTTAACTGTACTATTTTGCATTTCCATCATCCACATGAGTTTTAGTTCTCTCAGTCCTAACATTTGCTATGCCAATTAACTCTGGGTATTCTAATAGTTGTGTGATGGTATCTCACTATAGGCTCAATTTGCATTACCTTAATGAACAATGATTTTCAGTTAATATGTTTCTGGAGCAGGAAGGGACTGTTTCAAAGCTGAGTGACACTAGAATAGCAACTGTCCACTTGAAACATTAGTTGTCTATTTTTTTTGGGGGGGGGGTTCCTATTTTCAATCTTGTTCTCTCCTGGCTGAGATAACATCAAACTCTGATTCTGTATTTCCTCAGAAAGCTGCCAGGATTTCTCTCACACTGTGTTTTACTTGTTTGCTTAGATTTTTGGTTTTATATCCAAAGGAAGAAAAAGAATGAGATATGTTTAAGAATCATTTGGAACTTCTTGAAATTTACTATTGTAGCTGACACAAGGCACTTTATAATTGTCATCCTGTCTCTTTTGCCCAGCATAGAAACATACAACTCATGTAGTGTAAAAATGGCTTTCTAGAAAACATCTTCTATGCTGATGTTTTATTTTAGAAACTGTTATTTCCCCCATTTGCCCTCCCTTCAATGTTTTTTGGGAGCAATCATCTTCCAACTTGATCTCACCATCTTCACAGACTATTTCCTGAAACTAAGTCCACAGAAGGTACTATGAAGACTATGTCAGTATTGTTAGGATGTAGGCTGGTATCGAAAGGTGGTGAGAATGGAGATATTTCGGGGCTGAGAGGAGGCTGGGTGATATGAAGTAGTTGAAACAGTGTGGGATAAGCAATACAATTTACAGGTTTTAGGGTTTATTCTAAAACTAAAGTTCCTTTAGAAATAATGATTTTTTTATTTTGGTTGGGTGTGGTGGTGCATGCCTTTAATCCCAGCACTTGGGAGGCAGAGGCAGGCAGAGCTCTGTGAGTTCGAGGCCAGCCTGGTCTACATAGTGAGTTCCAGGCCAGCTGGGGCTACAGGGTGACCCTGTCTCAAAAAGACCAAAAAAAAAAAAAAAAAAAAGAACTTCTTTGCAGTTGTTTTTATTATTTTTATTTTGTGTATATGCGTGTATTGCCTGTATGCAGGTAACTGCACCCACGTCGTGCAATGCCCACGGGGAAGAGGCTGTCAGATCCCCTGGGACTGGAGTTACAGACAGCTGTTAGCTGCCATGTGGGTACTGGGATTTGAACCCAGGTCTTTTGCAAGAACAACAGTGTTCTTAACCACTGAACAATCTTTCCAGCCCTGCAATTTATAGATTGTCACCGTCTAATGACTATGTGTAACAAAATTTCTTCAGTGAAGTTTGACACTTCAGTGCTCTTAGACTTTCAAAATAATTTTCTTCTTTCATTAAAAAAATTATGAGAGTCTAGTGTGGTGATAGGGAGAATGTTATTTACCTTTCATGGTTGACATGGAAAATAAAGATACTCATTTTAAAAACAGTATTCCTCTGGATTGACAGTATTTGTGCTACCTATTACTAAGTCAATGGTGAACACTTCTGATTTATAGTTCAAGAAAGATACAAATTATTGAAACTGGATCTAATCCAGTAATGTTATAGGCTTTTTTTTTTTTAAAAAAAAATAACACTTTTCTTATTGTTATTGTGCATGTTGAGTATGGGTACAATCCTGCCATGGCAGGCATATGGAGGTCAGAGGACAATTTTCAGGAGTTGGTTCTCCCTACCTTTACATGGGTTTTGGGACTCAAACTCAGGTTGTCACCTGCTGAGTCATCTTGGTGGCCCCAGGCTGTCAATTTTTACATACACTGAAAACAATAGAGACAATACTGATGTCAGGGAAAAATCACTGCCAAAGCAGTGGCGATTAGGACAAAAATCTTGATTCCACACACACACACACACACACACACACACACACACAGAGGCAGTGATAAGAAATCACAAAGGACAAAATGATACCCATGATAATGGCTCTTTTTAATAATTTTCCTAAAGTCAGCAAAAGACTCTATAATGAACATTTAACTCATTCTCATTTTTCAGTTGAGGGTAGGAGATAACGGTTAACAAGTATTGCTGAGCAATCAAATTTAGGGGGACTATTTTCTTACCTATTCAGTAAGTCCAGTATGTAGATCCTGGTTAAGACTGTTTTATCTTTAGATCTAGGGAATGGGTTTAGAAGGGGGAACCTGATACTCATCAGACTGAAGGTAGAGCAGGTTTGGAAAATAGATGTATTTGCTTGTTAAAATAATATGATATATTGTCAACATATGATGAGAGCATCTTGCTATTTCTGAATCACTAAAAGTAAGTTTTAATTATCTGGCCTTGGGTTGTTAGCAATTTAAATGTTGTATAAAGAAACCCAAATTTTATTAAATTCAGGAAGAAAATGAATGAAATTGGTTAGGGAGACTCATGCAGATTAATTTTTTCTTTCCGAAGATACTATTTCTACCAGCTGAAAATGAGAAAACAAAATGGGATTTAGCTGGACATTAACTTGAGGGGATAGTAGATCTTTGTGTTGTATGAGTTTCATTTAAGTGAGAAAAAGTGAATCTTGAGCAATAAAAATAAAGTACAATAACCCCCCGACCTTTGCCTAGATTATTCAAACAATATATGTAAAAGAGAACAGTAAATCACCTATATCAAGTCCTACTTAATTGTTTCCTTTTATAAGCTTGAATTAGATCTTTGGAGAGATATGGGTAATTGTTTTCTCCTATTAAAACTACATGTCTTGGATTCCACAGGCCTGTATGAAGATGTTTCCCATTACTTCACACACAAATTTTCAGAAACAAAGTGATACCTATGGTTCATCTTGTAGTTCAGTCCATCAAAAATCCTGATCTGGATTCAGCTGGGTGCTCTGCTTAGGTTTTCATGAGGTGGCAGTTCAGGTGTCGGGCAAATAGGGGCTACTCTCTGTTCACACAAGTCACCTGCTGCTTCTTGCCACACAATCCTCACATGACCAACAGGAAAGCCTCCTGAATCCTCCTGACTTCTCCTCAAACACTTCCAGACCTTCTTTTAAAGAATTCACTTGATCAGATGCACTGAAGATAACCCACCTTTTAAATTCACCTGATTGATTAACATTCATAGCTTGGTGTTGGTTATTTTGGAGTAGACAAGGTTGGGCTTAATTCTGATAGAGACAATATCAACTAATACAGACACTCTCAACTGCAGACTGTGGTACTTGCTGTGATTTCCAAATGCTTAAGGCAGTGTCTTCTGTCAATATCTTTGGCCCTTGCAAGGGCCCTCCAGGTTACCATCACCTCAGCCACAATTATGGGATTAATGGCACATGAACTGTGTTCTTCATGTGTCATTGGTATGACGTGTGAGCTATTTAGCACAACCATTATCCACCTGCATGCACTAAAAAGCCTCTTATGAATGTCTTTTTATAGACAACAGGAATTTAAAAGTGAGTATATTCTTAGATAAGTAAAAGAAGGCTGGTTTTGTTTTGTTTTTGGGGGACAGGGCCTTGCTATACAGCCCTGGCTAGTAAAGAGCTCCCTATGTAGAACAGACTTGCTTCAATCTTCCTGCCTCTGACTCCTGAGTGCTGGAATTATGGGTGTGTGCCACTACCTAAGTCTTTTGTTTCCAATTGGTGTTTTTAAATTTATATACTGGCTTTCAGTACAAATCTCACTATGCAATAAGAGAAGTCTACTTCAGGTTTTGATACTGTTTTGATATGCAAGGATTTTATTTTAATACACTAAGTAGACACTGAAATAAACCATATGAACACACAAGTAGCAATTTTGGGGTTCATCTCCTTCTGATCCATCATTCTCCTCCTACTCAATAAATAATTCATTATCACCTGAGTAGTCCACAGTGGCAATTCTCAACCGCACCCTTCATCATTTCCAAGATGCCTTCTTTCATACTTAAGGTCTTTCTTTTGATTCTTTGAACAGTCTTAACTAGACTTCTAATAGCCTGTTCCCACTCTGAGGTCATCTTCTACAGTGGCCAAATTATCTCCCTGAAAGCTGAACAAACTCCTTTTCATTCTTTATGAAGTTTATATTCTAATGGAACAGATTAGGGGGGAAAAACCTGAAAATAACCCCCTAAATTCTAAATTGACAAGTGATAATGACTTACAAAGAAAAAAATGAATGATAGAGGGATTACTTTGAGGTACACTGCTGATATTTGACCATAACAAATGCTAATGCCCCCAGCTAAAGATCAGTATGAACATACCTGCTCAAATATAGTTGGGTTTAATGCCATGTTGCAAGGTGCCAGCCAGGAAGCATATCAAGAGAAACTTCAGTAAGAGTACTGTAAAAACATTACAGAATTGGGCTTGTTAGGGATCTTGAGGACTGGTTAAAGATTTGCTCTGGGTTGGAGGCTGTCAGAAGGCAGAAACAATTGCATGAGTGGATATTCTGACATTGCTATGTAGAGGATAAGAACAGAGCAAAGTTAAGTTTGGAAATGGTCAAAAACAGCTGTCACTTCAGGCGTGGTGGCACACGCCTGTAGTCCCAGCATTCGGGAGGCAGAGGCAGGTGGATCTCTGTGAGTTCAAGGCAAGGCCAGCCTGGTCTACATAGTGAGTTCCAGGACAGCTGGGGCTACAGGGAGACCGTCTCAAAAAGACCAAAACAAAAACAAAAACCCAGCTAAAATGTTTGGCTTTGTAGTTTTATAATCAGAATCAGAGTTTTAGATGCCTGTCACATGAAGGCCAATGAGCAGATAGGAATAAAATTCTTAAGTTGCACTTTATTCCCAGAGGTAGGGATCTGAGAAGACAGATTAACATCTTAAAATAGACTACCTACATCTCCTCTCCAGCCAGCAGATTGTGAGGAGTTGATGAGGGAGGGGTCACAAAGACAATCACTTATTCTCAAACCCAGTTTTCCCCTCTGGTCAGCCACATTTCTGAGCCTTGCAATGTCTGTGTCTCTCATTATCATCCCTTGCCCTTTTCCCTCATTCTCTGGACACCTGGGCTCAGGCATATCCTGAAATGCTCAGTCTAGTGGGTGTTATGTATCAACTCTGAACCCCTCTAGGAGAATTTAGGCTTGGGACAGGGAATAACTCAGAATAATTAGCAGTGCCTACATACAAACCTATTAGTAACACGCAGGTGCAGATTTCTACAATAGAAGGCACAAATGTACTCCTGAAAATAGAATATAAAAACGTTCCTTGGGCCAGGCGTGGTGGTGCATGCCTCTAATCCCAGCACTCAGAGGCTGAGGCAGGTAGATCTCTGAGTTTGAGGCCAGCTTGGTCTACATATAAAGTTTCAAGCCAGCCAGGATTAGTGAGACCCTGTATCAATAAACCACAACAACAACAACAACAAAAAACCCCCCAAAGCCTGAAACAACAACAAAATCCAAAACCAAACCAAACCAACGTCCCTATCTATTAGTCCTGCCCCCGTTAGACGCTTCACTGTTGCAAAGTTAAGGCCTTATTGTAGATCCTTTGCCGTCTTGGCTTGGTTACTCACTAAGCAAGCTGTTCTAAAATTGTTTAGGCCAAAATTATGAATCTATCTAAAATTGTAATCCTATAGAAGATTAAGTGATAATCCTAAATCTCAAGGAATTTCATTTTCCCTTCAGGGAGATTTATAAGGGTGAGGGTAAGTGGTGAGACATGCATTTGGAGGATGTTCTTGTATCTGATATATTCAGACATAGCTGTGGAAAGTTCCTTCTTCCATTTTGTATGTATGCCCATGTCTGACACTGATGTTTTGTGACTTTTTATGTTCAAGAGGACATGTAACTTAGTTGACAAGTACTCGGCCAGATGCTGCCAGTACCGCCAAGGCCTAGCAGACAGCACCGGCTTAGTCTCTAGCTATGCAGGTTTACAGGGTTTATTAAATTTTCTTTAGCATTCAACTGCTAAAATTGTCTCTGTAATTGCAATGCACAACTTTTACTCATAATTTTATTTCCTGAATAGTTCCAACACTCATCCTACAGAGTTGGTGACAATAGTAGCAGTTTCCTTTTTAGTTAAGATTCTATTTATGTGAATTTATGCCATGTGTACAAATGGCGATGGAGGCCAGAGGACTTCAGATTCCCCTGGCTCTGAGTTATAGGCAGTTGTGAGCTGTCTGATGTGGGTGCTGGGAACTGAACTTGGGTCCTCTGGGAGAGCAGAACTTTTTTCTTTTATATACAAAACAATAGCTACAATTATGCATGTTTTAAAAATTGTGTGAATTTCATTCAACATATTTTAACCATATTTAAATCCCCTCCTGTATCTGCACCCCTTTCTATCCCCCAATTTCTGTATTCATATATGTATATATATATATATATATATATATATATATATATATATATTCAAATGCCCTTTGGTGTGAGTTCACCCACTGTTAATACATTTAAAAATGTTTTATTGGGGGCTGGAGAGATGGCTCAGCAGTTGAAGAGCACTGCTCTTGCAGAGGACCCAGGTTCAATTCCCAGCACCCACATGGCGGCTATGAACCGTCCTTAACTCCAGTTCCAGAGGAATCCAAAGCGCTTTTCTGATCTCAGTGGCATTGCATGACATGGGTACACTCACATGCATTCAGGCAATACACTCATACACATAAAATAAAATAAATTTTAAAAAGTTTTATTTTATGAGTGTTATGCCTGCATATATGTAGGTGCACCCATGTTGTGCAATGTCTGTGGGGTCAGAAGAGGGCATTGGATTCCCCTAGAACTGGAGTTAGTTGTTAGTCATCATACGGGTGCTGGGAATCAAACTTGGGTCCTCTGGAAAAATGGTCAGTGCTGTTAACTGCTAAGGCATCTCTCCAGCCCCTTTAGTTTTTTGAGACAGTGTCTCACTCTGTAGCCTAGGTAGGCCTTGAACTCAAAGCAATACTCCAGCTTCAGCCTCTGAGTGCTTGGATACAGATGAGAGCCATCACACCCAGCTGTAGTAGCTTATGTATTCACTGATAAAATATATTGTGGTGAGGAAAGAAAAAAAGGTTAAATGATAATCCCAAGCTTCAAGGAATCTCATTTTTTTCCCAGAGAAGTCTATAAAGGTGAAGGGAGGTAGTGAGGGCAGACATAAAACTCTCTTAACTATCAAACACATATGTCATTTCTTATGACATGTAGAATGCAACAAGTAGACCTGCATGGCTGATGGGCTCAGGAATTGCAAGTAATAAAACAGGTACTATAAATTTCATAAACTTCAACAGTCTCAGATTCATCTGCCCCATTCACCTTTGAAAATAGGAACCTGGAGTTACAGTGCATATATTGTTCTGGCGGGTGTCCAGGGTGCCAGGCTCTATAAGGGAATTACATACAGAACTTCCTAAAATCAGGAAGAAATTCTAGAGTGCTCACTCCAGGGTCTGACTCAACACACATTGAGAGTCATTCATGTTTTTTAAGTTGTGAGTAGTGTTTCATTGCATGAATATTGCAACTTACTCTCCCACTGATGAATGTCTGGGCTGCTCACCGTTTTTGGTGATCATACATAAAGCTGCTATGAGCATTTTCTCATCTTTTTGCAGATATATGGCTTTATTTCTCTTGGCTTATACCAGATGTGGGATTGGCGTGTCAAAGGGTTATGTATTTGGTTAACATGAAACTGATAGGCTCATAACTTTAGCATAAACAATTTTAAAACATGTTTCTGAGTAATCAAGTCAGGATGGCAAAGAATCTGTAAGGCCCTAACTCTGCCAGTTACCAATGAGGCCTAGAAGACTCTACTACTACCTACAGACAGAGGGATGAAGGCTGAGATCTGCAGGGACAAGGAGTGTGGGTGGCACATTTGTTAGTAACAGGTGTGTGAAACTCTTTTGGCTCTAGGTTTTCTGGAATTCCGTTTCATTATATTCAAGCTCAGATAATGAAATTTCTGAATATGAAGACGTAAAAGGGAGTGGGGGGGGCAGTGGTTCTGAAAGAGATCGTTATTAGCAGAAGTTTGATGGTATGTTTTTGTGGAGTCACATTCCCAACCCTATCCTTAGTAGCTTTTTAAAGAAACCTGCCACTTCTCTTAAGTCAAGAGGTATCTAGGCTTCATTTCACAGAAAGTAGAAAAGACTAGGAAGAACTTTCACTTTCCCACCAAAACATCCCCTCCCCGAGGTATCCATCCTTTCCTTTCCTCCGCCCTCTAGTCACAATGAAGATATTCTTCCTAACGTCCTGTTCATTTCATCTTCCCTCCCGTTGATCTCCTGCTTTAGACTGATTACTATGGTTTGAAAAATCCTCTCTAAAACTCATGTTGAAATTGGCCCTTGTAACATTATGCAACATTACTAAGGGGGTGAGAACTTCAAGAGGTTAAAGGCAGTCAGTCAAATTCCACTTTCCCCAACCGAGTGGGTTCCTGATAAAAAGAATGATTTTGTCTCTAGTGCTCCCTCATCCTACTACCCTGTTGACACACATTGCGTGTCCTTCCTCTTTCCAAAGCCTCTAGAACTATGAGACAAATAAACTGTTTATTATTTAACCAGTCCATAGATATGGTATTGTCATAGCAGCAGAAAACAGACTAAGACTTTTTTTTTGCATCAGCTTCCCCCATCTTCTCTTTTATGAAAGCTAATCAGGTACTGCATCTGCTACTGCCCTATCTGCCCCACACAGTGTAATTAACACTTCTAACTGTAAGCTTACTCTTTCTCACCTGGGCCACCAGACTGTCACAGAGGCACCTAAAAGACCCGTATATAATGGATAGGCAAATTTTTCGAGGTGCCAACACAGTCACTTTGAGCTTGTAGCCTGGAATGTTTTCTCACTCCCTGGGTTTGACAAACCATCTTCCTGTGTACGTTGGTAACAAGACAAGACGCTTTCATTCTGAAACTGTGTTAAGGCAGCAACAGGTAGAAAAACAAATGGGTGGAAATGGTGCCGCAACTGGGTCCCTCAGTAGACCTGGGACCTGTACTGAGGGGCCGCGCATGTGCCACTCCCCGCAGGGCCGGCAGCGGCCTTTCCGGCGGAACTGGCTTTTCGGCTCCCTAGGGGCCTCAGTTTCCGAGTCTGGGATGAGGATGGGCTGGGAGGTGAGGGGAAGAGCCGAGCGGTGCCTGGCCAATGGCAGCTCTTGAACTTACACCTCCGGACGTCAGCACGGCTGTGGAAACGGATATCACACACAGCTGGCTCGGAAGTGTCTCAGCCCGCCGCCGCCGGAGAGGGGCGTACGGCACCCCGGCAACTGGGCTTTCCCTTCCCGGTTGCGTCTGGCTGAGGAGACCAGCGGCGCGTCCCCGACCCCTGCGCCCAGCTCCGCCCCCTCCCGGCCGGGCGGCGCGCTCCGGAGGCTGCCAGTCGAGTCGCGGGCGCGCGCGCCGCCGGCGGAGCCGCAGTTAAAATGGTCCGAGCGGGACCCGGCATACCCTCGGCCTCCACGCTGACTGACTGAACCGGCTGGCCGGGTCCGGACTGATCGCCTAGCCGGCCGACTTGCCCTCTCCCTCGCGTCCCCACAGCTCGCGCCCATCGTTCTCCCGGCTTCCCGGGGCAAAGCATGTAGCCCCCGTCGGGCGCACGGGCGGCCCGCAGCTGACGCCCACCCCCACCGTCGCGTGCGCCCGTGTGCGCAGCGCGGGCGACCCCGCTGCGGGAGGCCCAGCCAGCCAGCCAGCGGCCTGACCCGCCACCCGGAGCCCGCCGGTCGGGCCGCACTCCCTCCCCGTCCCGCTCGCCCTCCCCGGGCCTTCTATATGGGCCACCTTCTCTCGAAGGAGCCGCGTAACCGCCCGAGCCAGAAGAGGCCTCGCTGCTGCAGCTGGTGTCGCCGCCGGCGCCCTCTCCTCAGACTGCCCCGCCGGACCCCGGCCAAGGCGCCCCCGCAGCCCGCGGCGCCCGGGAGCCGGGACTGCTTCTTCCGCGGGCCCTGCATGCTCTGCTTCATCGTGCACAGCCCCGGCGCGCCCGCCCCCGCCGGCCCAGAGGAGGAGCCGCCGCTCTCGCCGCCGCCGCCGCGGGACGGGGCCTACGCCGCCGCGGCCGCCTCCTCGCAGCATCTGGCACGGCGCTACGCTGCCCTGGCCGCCGAGGACTGCGCCGCCGCCGCCCGCCGCTTCCTGTTGTCTTCGGCTGCCGCCGCTGCGGCCGCCGCGGCCTCGGCCTCGTCGCCAGCGTCCTGCTGCAAGGAGCTGGGGCTGGCCGCGGCCGCCGCCTGGGAGCAGCAGGGCCGGAGCCTCTTTCTGGCCAGCGTGGGGCCCGTGCGCTTCCTGGGGCCGC